ACCGAAACTCAATAACATTCCCTGCCAGCACCAGCCCCTCCTAGCCCCATCAAAAATTACGGGGCTCGAGGGAGCTATGAAGGGGCTAGGCGGGGCTGTGAAAGGGGCTTTGGCGGGGCATTCAACACGACAGCCCCGCCTGGTCCCACCAGCGAAATAAAATTCACAGGTACGCGGGAACAGCAGAGGATCAAGTTTATTAGCGCGAAATGGCCATTTGGTGAGGGGACCAACTAGCCTTTGGGCCTGGTCAACCTATAATTAACCCTGTCAGCACCAGCGCCGCGTAACCCCCTCAAATAGGGCGGGGCTAGAGGGGGCTATGAAAGGGCCTGGTGGGGCTGTAGAAGGGGCTATGGTGGGGAATTCAACACGACAGCCCCGCCTGGCCCCACCAGCGAAAAAAATGCGCATGGGACGCTAGATTTCCACCCACTTTTGGCACTCCTTTAAAATATCGACCTGTATGATGAGTCCCCTGAGGCGCACACACATAATACCTGTCGGCAGAAGTTTCAGAGTTCAGAATGGGCATTTCTCGTTCAGGAGATTGATTGCCAACTGCTGTCGACGTTAAGGGAACCTCAGACTCAGGTTCTTCAGTGGCCTCATAATATGCCTTGATCTGACGCTTAATGCGCTTGTATATGGTGGTTCGGTGAGAACCACAGTAATTACGCTTCATAATTGCTTTGGGTATTCAGTAAAAAACGATAAAAAGAATTGTATAAGTGGACTATGAACACCAATGCTAACTAGAACATACATAGACATACAAGTCGACTACTTCAACTGGTGTGTGAGTAAATACCCAAACAATTAGCAAAAGATACATAAATTAACTAAGACGGTTATTAAGAGCATGAAAACAGCATTGGTTGACGCACGATATTATCCGCGACCCGTGGGCGTAAACGAATGCTTTTTTCCATGATTTATAAGCCACTTTTTATAAATTAGCTCCTTTTAATGCCAAAGAAGGTACAATGAGTGGTGCTTTTGAAACATAACTTCCGATGCAAATACGCTTCAAAATGTTTCAATCCAGAGGGGGCTCTGGCCCCACTTAGCCCCTTCCC